AAAAAAAAAAAAAAAAAAAAAAGAAGTCCCGCACAGCACCGCACGGTGCGGCACACGTAGCGCACGTCCCCGCACATTTCCGCACCCGCACGACCACCCCCCGCACGGATCTGGTCTGTGCGGGTGCGGAATGTGCGGAGATCGAACACCCCCCGCACGGATCTCCGCACGGATCTCCCCACAAATGTGCGGCTCGTGCGGTTGCAAGTATGATGTATTTTCATTATAAGGGACGCTGGGCCCGGTTCCCAGCACATGATGCTCCCCACGAATAGATTGGAGCAATTTTAAGGAAAAAAAAAAAAGCATCATGTGCATATATCGAAGAGAGAACAGGGTCAGCTGGACAAGGACCCCCCCAAGGTCCAACCAAGCTCGAACCCGTGACCTTGTAACATGTAATCGAATGACTCTACCATGTGAACAACTAGCAGAAACGGCACAAACGTATGATATGCCAGACTGGGGAGATCAACAGAACACTCAAGACCAGCACCCCCAAGCAACCCATGTGAAACCCAGAACCAACATACAAAACCATGAACAACCCTGGTGCGCAGGCATTGGCTGCAATAGTACCATGCATCAGCCCAAGGCAAGTGTATGTCCAGCTGTGCATCAATCTAACGCCCTGCCAGTTTCCATGTGCAAGGTTGCAATTGAGTTTTGAACCCGCAACCTCATACCACAATGCGCATTTCCAACAGGTGCTCTAACAACTGAGCCACATCAACTGGACCAGGTCATGAGCTATTGTCCTCTTCTCCCTCTCTGCCTACGGTGTTCGACAATGGGCCTCGCCACACCTATCCCGAAAACACCGATTTGGAGAGGAAACGCATCGCCATACCAACTCTCGAAAATCGGTGTCAGAAAAAGGTTCGAGAGCAGCCAGAACGCGGGTTTCAAGAGTGCTCACGAACTGTGGTCCTTGCCTGGCCTGCAAAGTGGCCGCTTTCGAGAGTGGTCGAAGGCACCCCCGAATTTGGCCCGAACTTGGAGAGTGTGCCGCGATGGACAACCGTCTGCGGCCAGCATTTTGTCGTGTGTGGTTCGAAAGAACTCTCGAACCGTGAGGTCTTTCTGGACCCTGGGTGGGCCCAAGCATCGTGTCCCCTGCCCGACGAGACACCGTTGATTTCCCTTTTCCCACCCAAAACGAAAGTTTCGGGAGAGGTCACACCGCCACACTGCACTCTCCAAAAAGGCTGGGTCTTTTCTGAGACATTGGAGAGCGCCCCCTTCGAGAGCGCAGTGCGGTGATGAGGCATCTCAAACCGTTTTTCTCGACTTCCTGAGTTCAAGAGCGCTCCTGAACATTTTCCCATTTTCGGGATAGGTGTGGTGAGCCCCAATGTACGTATGGGCCTCGCCACACCACTCTCGAAATGTGAAAAAGACAAAAATGTGGCGGGTGCAGTAGCCATGTTCTAGCGGGAAATTCGTTCTTTTTTTTTAAAGGGCCCTGATATTATCAATATAATGAATGAGGCCGGGGTCTACCCGGAAGTAACCCAAAGGAGCCTGCTGAGAACATATCCCATCTTCCTTGAATAAGAATGATGATGCACTGTGAGCCAAATGCAGCGCTATTGATCTGATGTCCACTGACCATCAAGAAGGACAGTAAAGTAAACTAGCTTAGTGCCTCTTCACCCTTAATGGGCGCCAAAACATCTTGACAACCACGCACGTTACCAGTTATCTCCATCAAGCCTAAGTCTAAAAACGCCCTTCCTTAAACCTCTGGAGATGTATTATCCAAGCCAAGCAGCAGGCACAAGACAATTATTTGGGGGGGGGGAAGAAATCAGGAAATTCAGACAAATTCTCATTTTGCACATTTCCAGAGTGGTGTGGTGATGCCCTATATATGGTAGATATATCAAATTAGGGGAAACTGTGGCTGTGAGGGCATACTCACACTAGGACCTTTTGGTCTAAGTTGTGGAGTCGTGTGGACACAATTGCACTCATATTTCCATAAAGGCAGTCAGATACATTTAGAAAAGTCCTTGTGTGAGTATGCCCTGACACACTTTTAGTTTGAAATAGGCAAGAAAAAAAGTGGCGCCGTGTCCATGGTGTGAGTTTCGAAATGTGCAAGTTTAGCGGAGGTCTAAAACTGCACCAGTCATTACCCGCAGTGGCGCTGTGACGAACCACTTTCCGTCTCTGCGCGATTTTCTGCGCGATGACGATTAGGGGTCCTTAGCTGGGAAGGTTGGGCCAATTACGGGAGATCGGGATCAACGGGAAAATTGCATCAGTGTCCTCGCTTCTTCGTCTTTTTGCGTCGCTCCTTTTCGGATGTCTGGGTCCAGAGCTGGGAAGTCCCGGGATGATCGGTTGAGTGGCGCGCCGCCGCGCGCGCGATTAATAATGGTCGACGTCGCTCCTTTTTGTTTTGCTGTAGGTTTTTTGGCGCGGTGATCGCGCGGGAGTTTTGCTTCTCCCTTTTTGAAATTCTTTTTCGAATCTTGTCGAGCCCTTGACGGCTTTCGGAATTTCGGACTTTCTTTTCGGAATTGTGCTTTATTTCTTTTTGCATTTTTGCATTGGACAGGAATTTAGGAATTTCTTTTGCCGCGCGGTGCTTTTTGCTCGCGCGACTCTTTTTGCGGCTGCAACAGAGCTCTGATTAGCCGTCGCCCTTAATCTTGCGTGGAACCGTAATTTTTGCGCGGGCGCCCTTGTAACTGTATCTTTCTTCTTGAGCTTCGTCTTTCCCGCTCTCCCTCTCTTCTTTGCTGTGTCTAATTGGTCCGCGGGCTGCATGATTGGATCGATGTGCGGAGAGTGGCTATGTCCCCCACGTCGCGATCTGTCCATGCAGAACGTAGGCATTCCCTCCCTTTCTCTCCCTTCTAAGTCCTTGCAATTCCGTGTTCTTCGCGCATGCATGCACGCTATAAATTCCGGCTGCACGATTAGATAGCTCTCTTAAACAGGAAGCTCGGGGTAGCGCGATCAGTGAGGGTCGGCTCACGAGCGAAGTAAGAGGTGAGTTGAAGTGGGAGTTGGGCGACCCGACGAGCTGGTGCCAAATGTGCGGGATTGACACGTGGGGCTACGACGGACTATAGCGCGCGGACGAATCCGACGGGCACAGGAGGACTAAGCGGGGTGACAACTTCGTGGGTTGGTGCGTGACGACGGATTGTCCGCATCGGGGAGAGAGAGAGAGAGAGAGAGAAAGAGAGAGAGAGAGAGAGAGAGAGAGAGAGAGAGAGAGAGAGAGAGAGAGAGAGAGAGAGAGAGAGAGTTGAGGTTGATGGACGTAGTTGTACTTTTCTTTGTCTTTTCTCTTTTACTTTTGTACACACGTTTTGATTGCGGCTACGAGCGATTCGCCCTTTTTTTTTTTGATTCGGCATCTCTCCTTGTTTTCTCCCTTCATTGGCGCTTCTGCTCGATTTTGATCTACTCCTCTTTGTGTATGACGAATGGAT